CCGCTTCTCAAATGCATATCAAGTGTGGACTCATAGCAGACATACTGAAGAAAAAGGAAGGCTCAAATATAATGTTAGTTGTATGATCACAAGACAACAATAGAGAGAGAAACAAAAACAAAGAAGACGTTTAAAAACTTGACACTTTGGCTCAAGTTTTGAAATGACTTTTATTCTTTACTTTTTTTCTCCCGATTGCTTAAAATGATTGTATTATACTTGTGTCGTCAAATCCCATGTTGTCATTTTCCAATTGTTCCAGAAAATGGTGTATCTTTGTTGAGTAAAATTCAAATCACAAATAAAATAGTCTTAGTCTTCACTTCTTATAACTAATCGGATTTTGGAGAACACAATCAATCCAATGTATGAAAAAACAACAATTGGGATTGAAACAATAGCCAAACATATTGCACAAAAATTATGCAAATATAGGTCAACTATACATCTTAAAAGCCACTCATTCTGCCCCGTCCCAAAATATCTACGGAAAATGAAAAAAGAAACAATGTACTCTTATTAAAAGAAATCTTTGAGAATCCATTCAAAGTGGATAACGAGGATACAATATAATCCATTCAAAGTGGATAACGAGGATACCAAGCAAGTGTGGCCATAAAATCAAATGAGATTTACCTCGACTCTGCTTCCGTTTGGCAGTGCATGCCAAGAAGGTACCATTTCAACAATATAATCGCTCACACAAAGAAGCCATTCTATTTCTCTTTGCCACTTAGATTTTTTCTCGTGAGGCAATGGTTCTAGCCTCCATAACTGGCCAAATACGGTGACTACACGGAAAGGTCAAATTATAAGAGTAGTGAAGCTATACTAGAACTATCATAATAATGAACTGCACACATTAAATTGATGGCTACCACGCGAAGGTCAAATTATAATGAGTTGTGCATCTATACTAGAACTAGTATGATGAACTGTAGGCATTACATAGTACATACTACAGCCCGTTCCAAAGGTTTAACTGAATGTTCTTCCAACCCATTAATTTTAGAATACACCGTAATATACTTACCACCAAGTTAATGAGTTAATGTGACTTTACATTCACAACATCTTTTTAAAATATTTCTCTTTTCTTTTTAATAGAAATAAGGATACTTTAAAAGCAAAAACCTATGATAGTATCTTTTATAATTTAATTATTAAAATATTAACATTAAAAGAATCAATAAAACGTCAAATATGTCATAATATCTATGACTTTTAAAGTTAAATAAAATCAATAAATGTTAATCTATTTACTATATAGTTAGATAGTTCATTCAAAATATTGAAAGTACTTTTGTAGATCCTACCATCTACTTTCTACTTTTGGAAAGTGAGTTTTCATAACATGGGTCACAGTATTTTAATTTAAATTTTGTTTTTTTATATATTTGAACTAAAACTAATCTATTAGAAAACTATTTCCAAATATGGAAGCGGTAGTTTTATTTTATTTTGGTTAATATTTTTGGAAAATTATAATCCTTATGCGAATTTCTTTTCAAAATTATGACTGCTGTTCATCAATTAATTGCTTATATTGTAACTTTTTTTATATATATTCTTATATTTGTATTTATTGTACATAACATATATTCTATATCTATAGATTTTTTTATATATAATTCTACGTTTACACTTCATAATTCAACGCTCTCGTATGTGCGCAACTATAGTTAGGTTTCTATATTATTTCCTATATATATCCCCGTCCCCCTTTATATATATATATATCCCTCCTTAATATAATTTCAAAACGTATTGAGCATAAATGGCTGGCTCGCACGCTTCGAAAGCTTACTTGGCAACATTATATGTGTTGGCTTTTGATTCGGATAAAAATTAATACAATTATATTCCAAAATAAAAAGGACTCCAACTCCAAATAGAATTTTTATTCTTATCTCCTCCAAATAGGATTCTTATTCTTATCATGGTTTATTTTAATTCCTTCAAAAGTTTTTTTTAATCACTTATTCTTATCCAAAATTCACGTGTATGAGTATGAGTTAAGTGATGTTTTTCCTTAAAACTAATGTCTTGTAAAATATGTTACTGGTGGTTCGGCTGTAAATCTACCAAGATATCCTATTGTAGCATTAAGATTGTTGGAAACCATCATAAGTACTGAATCATTCATTTTGGATTCACAATCATGTGTAAATATTTGTATTTGAATTTTTATTCGGTTAACTATCTAATTTAATTTGTTGTTATTTAGCTTCCCGATTTTTGTTATTATTAATTATTGTGTGTGACTATTTACTTATAATTTTCAACTATTATTACATTTTTAATATATTATTTTGACATTTTTTTTGAAAAACTTACTTCCTATTTTTTAAATGATCAGGGTTTAATTAAATTAAATGCATGAGTTAAAACCAAATTAGGTAAAGTTTAGCTAGGAGAATACATGAGACATTCATAGTATAAAGGATAAATTAAAACTCACTAATCATTTATGAATTTTTCAATAATAGTAGGATCTATACTATCACCGCCTGTTTAAATATTAAAAAAAATCGAACTTTAAAGGTTGTTGCATATTTTTTATTCTTATTATGCCGTGTATAATAAATTTGAAATGCTGTGTATTTTGCTTAATCCGAAATCGGTGTGACAAAGTTCTCTACATTATTTAAATCATCATCCCCCTTCATTCTCATATCATGACAACTGTTTTCAACAAAATTAAGCGCGTATGGTTCAAACATGACAAGAACCAACCTGAAAATCGTGTTGCAATGGTGATTTGCGTCTTAGACGAAAAGGTACACGGTGGTTTCAATTCAGCACCTTATTCTTTGTATGCCCCTTTTGATTATTATCATATGAGCTATAGGTATTATAATTCGGGTTATTTTATTACATCAATTATTGTCAGTATATATATATATATATATATAAATTATTATTATTGCCTCTCCTTGAATTGTAATTTGTTTGTGTTGCTTCTGACCATGTCAACAATGCATTTTATCCTCTGCGTTATGTTTAAGAAATTTCTAGAAAATCCTTAATTTGGTATGACTGGTTATGCTGATAGAGTTAGATTTGTTTTCCCCTGTAGATATACAAGATGATCAAATATAGTCTTTTGTTTTGCATTTATCTCAACAATCAATTTCCTTTCCACTAATCCAACAAGCCTAAAAAAAAATATTTAAGCACAACTACCCATGTAAATACATGGGTGTTGAATTATGAAGCATATGTAAAAAATATTAATTTTTTAAACTAAAATAATTTAATTTTATATAAAACACTACTTTGGGTTTTAATTAAATTTTCAAATTATATAGAGCCTGAATATTTTTGTTTTCTACTTTTGCACTTTGATACGACAAATATGTGTTTTTTTCTATTATTTATTGTTTTATATTTTTTTTTCCAAACAACCCGTGTAGTACACGAGTGTCGTACTAGTATATATTAATTCAGAACATGCTGAGCCTAAGTGGCAGGCTCGCATGCTTCGGGATCCTATGTGGCAAAATTACATGCTTCGATTAGACTTGGGTAGATTTTAGTTTACTTCTAATCTAAAAATAACTAGGTTCGGACAATCCATAAATATGTTGATTATTTATGGTCATGTTACGTGTATTAATTGCATCTTAATATCATTTCTTATTATAGTCATTGAATTGTAAATATATTTTAAAAGTTAATAACTTTTGTATTTTGTATCAGTTTTACATATATAATATATCAAATTAATCATCTCTTAATGAGCTTCGATTTAACATCTATATTGTATGTATAAAAAAAATAAATTATATTTATCTTTATAACAATGATAAAATTGGTTTTTAATATTAATTAGAAAAATAAAATAATTTATCAATTAATATTATATTTCAAGTAGTTATATGATATAAATTATAAAAATTACTATAATATAACGCATGTAAGTCTCACAAGTAACAAGTGTCATTCTAAAATATAAAATAATATATATTTTTTGTAAACAAATAAATAAAATTTTAAATAATTTTTCTCATTAATTTTAAAATTTAAGAATAATTTTTTAACAAGCACCCGTGTAATACACGGGTGTTGTACTCTCCTCCCTATATATTAATTCAGAACATGCTGACCCTAAGTGGCAGGTTCGCATGCTTCGGGATCCTATGTGGCAAAATTATATGCTTCGTTATTAGGCTTAGTAGATTTTAGCATACTTCTAATCCAAAAATAATTAGGTTTGGACTATCCATAAATATGTTGATTATTTATGGTCATGATACATGTATTAATTGCATCTTAATATCATTTCTTATTATAACCATTGGATTGTAAACATATTTTAAAAGTTAATAACTTTTGTATCTTTTATCAGTTTTACATATATAATATATCAAATTAATCATCTCTTGATGAACTTCGATTTAACATCTATATTTTATGTATAAAAGAAATAAATTATATTTACCTTGATGACAATAATAAAAAAAAAATTAATATTAATTAGAAAAACAAAATAATTTATCAATTAATATATTTATATTTCAAGTAGTTATATGATATAAATTATAAAAATTTCTATAATATAACGCATGTAAGTCGCACAAGTAACAAGTGTCATGAAATATAAAATAATATATATTTTTTGTAAAAAAATAAATAAAATTTTAAATAATTTTTCTCATTAATTTTAAAATTTAAGAATAATTTTTTAACAAGCACCCGTGTAATACACAGGTGTTGTATTAGTTATTCTTATTACAATTCATAAATTAACATTTCATGATTCTATGGTATATATGTGTCAAGCCTCTATAAATGATTAGTCATTAGTTTTTGTTCGGAAAAATAAAAATAAAGCCTGCATAAAGACGTAGTGAATATGCTATGAATTATGTTAATTCCCAATTAAATATGGTAAGATTTATTTAAAATAATGATCTGATAAAGAAACATATAAATGTTGATAGATCATGCACAAACTTAAAGGCAAAAATTACAAACCAAAATCTTTCTTCTAACAAAGAATATTTATTTAAAAATCATATTCATGTATATTATATATTAATTTAATAATTTTTACTTACTTTTAATTGTCATTTTGTACCCACAATAATCAGAAATTAAAATACAATAAGTAAAAAAAAAAATTATTAATTTATTGATTTAAGTTTGTTGGTGTTTAATTAAGTAGTTGTATCATTTTAGTGGGTTGCAACTAGACATAGCCTAGGGTCGGGCCGACCTGCCGGTTTGGCAAACCGGATCGGAATCGACTCTGATCTGGCCCGTAATCAACGGACTTAGAACGGAGCTTGTAGTTTGATCGGGTCGGTTCCGTGCCACCTATTTATAAATTTTTTGACTGGCTGGCCAGGTCAAGGTCAGCCCGTAACTGGCCCGTCATTTTTTTTTTCTTATTTTTAGAAAAAAAAAAAATTCTTGGACCCTTGAAAGTCGTTGGTGGGACGTTGGATCTTTTTTACTGTAGGAGATCGAACGCCCAAATAGGTTTTATTTTATTTTTTCTATTATCGGTTTCATGTCCGGGTCAGAGTCCGGGAGTAGGTCAGAATTGACCTGCCCGGAATTGCAGCGGTAGCCAACAATTAGTTTTTCACATCTGATCGTTGAGATCCAATGGTCTGTTTTCAGTCGACCCCTCGGACCCGACGAGTTTCTTGAAGCAAAAAATAAAATAAAAAAATCCAAATTTAATCCTATAAATCTCAACACCTCCTCCCTCGAAAATTAGATTTTTCACACCATTTACATCTTTCTTCCACTCTTTCCTACTCATTTCTATGTTCTTGGAGTGTTATTTTTTAGTTTTTGTACTCGATTTGCTATAAAATCGGTTTGATTCTATATAAATTCGGTCTCGAACACTCGATTCTACATATTCACTCTCATTTCGATTACGGTTCAATAGATTCTTTACATAATACTCTTTTTTTTTTCAAACGGATAAATATTATTGCTCAAAAACCAACAATACACAAAGGCCAATCAAGTGATTGAGAGTTTCTTTCATCTAGCCCTACCTCAGCTAAACTAAAGAAACATGGGATAGCAATAAAGTAGCTACCCTATAGCAAAACCTGAACTAAACAACCACTAAAAATGGGAAACAAAAATAATACATTCCCTCAAACTATAACATTCTACTGAACCCAAACCAAAATAAAATCAAAATACCCACAAAAGTAATTACAAACCAGCTGGAGCAGTACCCTTTATGACCATGTCCATAACACATAATCTCAGCCGGTTGCAGCAGGATAGATGGTTGCCTCAGCACTGACAATAGACTTTGCCCTACTTCTGCAAACATCCTCCCCATTTCCCCCATCTTATTCCTCCTCTGCACCTCCTTTCCTATTACAAAATGCAAATTCTATCCATTCCCTTAATGCACCATCTGCTACCTCCTTCTCGGATTTCCACTCTTGTTTAAAAATCCAATTATTCCTTGTGCGCCATAACCACCATAGCAAATAAGTTGTTAGCTCTATTCTATCTTTCCTGCATTTTCCTTTGTCCATGGTGATTACTGTTCCCCACCATTTTCTAAAATTCTCCTCCTTCTCTTTAAGCCCATCCCAGTTAAGCCCGGACAATTTCCAGACTATCTTGGCTCTTCTACAGGTAAACATGATGTGTTCTAGAGTTTCCTCTGAATCTCCACATTGGTCACATATCAGGTCCACCTTCATCTCTCTCTTCTTCAGTTGATCTTTAACTCCTAAGAACTTATGCCAACATTTCCAAACAAACAATTTGATTTTGCTTTTTACCTGGAGTGCCAATGTTCTTCTCCAAATCTTCGTTGCATCATTTGATTTTCACTGGATTCTTGACTGTTCTTGCTCATAGCCCATCTGTTGACCAAAAACTGATACATATGTTTGACTGAGAAGATGCTTTTAGGACAGTGAATCCAGAAAAGTTGATCCCTCTTTCCTGCTACTGGGGGATTGAGTTTAAGAATTTCTTCAGCTTCAATTGGAAGGAATGTCTGCTGAATCAAGTCTACATCCCATCCTCCATTTTCTTCTTTGCATAGATCAGAAACTCTCCTCAAAGTGTATCTATCACTTTCAAAACAGCAAACAGGCTTAGGAAAAGGAGAATTGGGAATCCATGAGGACTCCCATATATCAATAGCACAACCATCCCCAATTTTATGCCTCATCCCCAACCTCAGAATGTACCTAGCTTTTAGCCAAGATTTCCAAAGCCAAGAGTCTGAATTTTTTGGCACTACATTATATAGATTCTGATTATGAAAGTATTTACCCTTGATCACTTGACTCATCAAAAGATTGGGTTGAGAAATAACTCTCCAAAGTTGTTTAGCTATCAAGGTGTCATTAAAGAGATGAAAGTTTTTAAATCCCAAACCCCCCAATTCCTTAGGTAAGGCTAACTTGTCCCACCCTGCCCAATGTATTCTTTTTTTCCTTTCTTCAGAACACCCCCACCAAAAATCAGCAATGTCTTTACAAATTTTAGAACAAATACCTACAGGCAATTTAAAACATGACATAATATATACTGGTAAGGCTCCTAGCACTGACTGAATCAAAATTTCTCTCCCTCCCTCACTGAAAAATCTATTTTTCCAGTTAGACACTCTAGAAAGAGCACAGTCTGACACAAATTTGAAAGTGTCCAATTTGGATCTTCCTATACCTAGGGGCATCCCCAAGTATTTGGAAGATTTAACCACTTGAACCCCTCCAAATAGTTGATAGATGTAGTCCCTGGAATCATCAGGAGTATTTTTTGAAAAGAAGATAGAGGATTTAGAGAGATTTATAACCTGTCCAGAAGCTTTCCCATAAGAGCACAAAATGGAATGAAGGATATCTGCATTTTGTCTATTAGCCTTACAGAATACAATAGCATCATCAGCAAATAAAAGGTGAGATATAACTGGAGCAAAAGGACCTATTTTAATACCACTAAAATTAGAATATTTAGAAGCTTGCTTAAGAGAAAAAGATAGGGCTTCTGTTATGATCAAAAATAAGTAGGGTGATAATGGATCTCCCTGCCTTAAACCCCTTGAAGGCTTCACAAAACCCTTAGGTTGCCCATTGATATTAAAAGAAAATGAGACCGTATTTAAGCAGCTGAAAATCCAAGAAATGAAGGTTTTACAAAATCCTAATTTTTTCAAAAGAAGGATGAGAAAATCCCATTCAACCCGGTCATAGGCTTTGGACATATCTAATTTTAGGGCCATGAAGGAATTTCTCCCCTTTTTTTTACTATTCAAAAAATGGATACATTCATTAGCTATTATTATATTATCTATAATCTGCCTACCGGGTACAAAAGCTGCCTGGTTAGGAGAAATGCAAATGTGGAGGACTGCTTTGATTCTATTAGCCACAATTTTGGATATGACCTTGTAAATAACTGTACAGAGGCTTATGGGACGAAAATCAAATACTTTTAAAGGGTTAAGAATTTTTGGGATAAGGGTAATTATTGTATGGTTTATTTTTTGGGGAATGCAGCCTGTCTGAAAAAAATTTTTAACTGCTACACGAAAATCATCTTTAATAATATGCCAACAAGACTTGAAGAATAGTGGGGTCATACCGTCTATACCAGGGGCTTTGTGAGGGTTCATCTCCATCAGGGCATCCTTGATCTCTTCATCCTCTACAGCTTTTGTCAAAGATTTATTCATTTGGTCTGTAATTACCCTCTGAAGTCCATCAATATTACACTCCTCCACACTGTGATCAGTAGATGTGAAAATTTTTTGAAAAGAAGCCATTATTTCCTCTAATATTTCCTGCTCATCTTCACATTTTTCCCCACTCTCAGAAACTAAGAAATCAATGCTATTCTTTCTCCTCTGATGCTTAACACAGGCATGAAAGTACCTTGTGTTTTTATCACCATTCTTAAGCCACTGTATCCTTGACTTTTGCCTCCAAAACTCCTCTTCCTCCAAATATGCCGTATGAAGTTTCTGCTTGATCTCCATCCAGTTTTCCCAATCCTTTCTGCACCCCTGATTTAGCATCACAGCCAGTTGAGAATTATAGCTTTCAATTAAGAGTGCTGAATTAGTACACAAAGTTGTCTTCCATTTCAGCAAAGCCATCCTTGTGTTTCTGATTTTGCTTTGTATGCTGTACAATGGAGGGCCCGAAACCTCTTTTTGCCAAGCTTCAGTCACTGTTTCTTGAAATCTCTTCTTCTTTGGCCACCTTGCATCAAAATAAAATCTTTTCTTCCAATGGCTTGCCTCTGAATTTGTGTCCATCAATATTAGACAATGATCCGAGGATATCCTGGGAATGTGTGTTATTGTAGTCTGGGGAAAGTTTAAGAGCCACTCATCTGAAAGAAGAAACCTATCTAGTCTCTCTTCTACAACTCCTTCCCCTTTTCTATTATTAGACCAAGTGTAGGGGTAGCCTTTAAAGCCTATATCCTGAACATTAAGCCCCCTGATTAAACTCCTAAAGCTCCTGAAGCTATTCTCTGACCTCACTTTACCCCCTCTTTTTTCCTCATTAGACAACACAAAAAAAGACCACCCTTAAGACCTATTGGATCCACCACATACCACCTATCCCCTACCTTCAGATTCTTACACACAGTTTTAACAAAATTCTTTTTTTTTTTTTGGTTTCCGATAGAAACACAAAATCTGGGAGGTGGAATCTCATTGATTCCTTTAACTGGGAAATTGTAGAGGGTCCCCCCAGACCTCTACAATTCCACGCCATCACTCTCATTGACCCCCTGGAGACCATTTCTGGCTGGTCTCCTCCACCATATCTAGGACTGCCTCTCCCTGAACTTCTACCGAATTTAAGTTTTTCTGTTTTTTTGGAAATCTAGAGTCCAACTCTGAGTCAATCATAATTGACTCTGATTTCCTTTTATTCCTATCCACCTTACTACCTGACTGAGAGATGGGTGATTTACCCATCTCTTGATTTTTCTCGACCTTTCTAATAGCTATTTTATGTTTTCTACCCCCTTGAGATGACTCAGACTTAGGGTTAAGATCTTTTATAATTCTTTTAGTAGCTACTTGCACAGGTACAGCTATCAGATTGTCTAACATTATCAGATCAGTTTTATCACCACTCAGATCATCTAACTTCTCTACAACTGGTTCTCTGCAATCAAAGACACTAGTTGTTACCAATGGAACTTGACTCTGACTAGGTATAATAGTTCCTGGATTATGGCTACTTCCTAAAGACCCTGACACCTTTTCACTCACCAACCCATCATTCTCCTTGCTACCCTCTACTCTATTCCCATTACTATCCTCCCCTTTATTTGCTTGAGGTCCCAGGACCTCATCTTCAACAGGCTTCCTACCCTCTGTGTTAGGTTTTGGCTCACTGTTACCAAAACCCCCCCCTCTATACCCTAACCCACTCCCCTGAGCAGCTCTTAACCAGTCCCCGTATTGACCACTTGCCAAACACTTCCCAATGACAGCCTCCTTTTTGTCAACACATGATCTCTCCGTGTGTCCAATCCTCCCACAATAGTAGCAAAAGTTTTGGAGATTCTCATACTTGAAGCTAACCCACTTCGATTCTCCTCCAAACTTCAAGTTTGTGCCCCTCAGAAGTGGCTCGTTCAGATTTAATTCCACTAGTATTTTCACAATTCTTCCTCCTGTTCCACCCATCTCCGGAATCACTACAGCTACTACTCTATTAAAAAGCTGCCCAATCTTCAAACCCACCTCCTCTGAAACCCAATGGAGAGGGAGGTTATGTATCTGCATCCACAACTCTATCTTCTGCTCTTCTGCTGTATACCCATTGTTCTCTTCACTCCATTCTTTCAGCAACAAATATTGTCCATCAAAATTCCACGCTTTCCCTTCCAAGACCCTTTTCCTGTCTTCCACCGACTGAAATATGAATTGGTACTTGTTGTTACCCACTACCCTCGACGTGAGTGGCTTCTTTGTATTCCAGATGCTCTGTAGTGTTGTTTTGAGCCCGGAAAAATTCGGTTTTTTTTCCCCAAATATACTTCCCATTAGGCTCAGTTCACACTCCTTTTCCCCAATTCGTATATCTTCCGACGCAATTTCAACTCCTCCTTCTTCTTTTTCGGATAGGTTGAATTTTTTGAATTCTTCTGCCAAATCCGTCTCCATGATACAAATACCCCTAGCCTCTCTTCCAGCTAAACCAAGGTTTGACAAAAGCCGTAGAAGTAGAGAGATGCACCTGAGAAGAGACTCGATTGGGAATAATAAAAAGGTAATGATCAGATCCCTAATCTACAAAGGATAATCCACGACCTAACCCTAGGACCGGGTAGAACGGAATAGAACAATGTAATTACTGGACGATATTTTTAAGGAAAGGTTTAAGATCGCAAATGAAGAAAGAGATATTAACGCTCGCAAGGAAAACAGATTGACGAAAGTTGATGATGAGATTCTGGGACTACATCCAACTAAGTGGAACTTGGGAACTCAAGCTTGAGACGAAAACTCCTTTTACATAATACTCTCTCATTTGTAATTCTATCATTTTCACATTTCTTTTTAATTTTGTAAAATCTATTCTTCAAGTTATAAAATATCGAGTGCTCGTGGTGGTTGTCATAGTCCGATTGCACGAGGACAATCGAGATTAACTGTATGCATCTGGTTAACTGGAAGGTCGACATAATATAAATTATAAATTAAAAATTCATTTTTGTCTATTATATTATTTTAATTTTAATGGCCTATAGCGATCGTATTGGATAATATGTAAATATGATTGGAAGTTCACAGAATTTCATGATTTTTCAATTACAGCATTCGATAAACTTTTAATTAATTTACTCGTTTGTTAATTTATGAAAATATGTACTATGAACATTTTCATTTTCATTTTTCTCTTCGAGTCAGTAGATCAATTAGTCATCAAACAAATATTTCTGCAATTTACCTTTTAGTGTCATATTTGGTATATGTGATTGTTGTTACATCCATTTTTTTTATTGCTTTAACATAAAATTATCAAACAACGTGGAACATATAAATTAATATTGATGTTATTAAATACATTTTAGTTAATATATATTTATACTTTATGTTATAACACAACATCAAACTCATTATTACTATTCAGTTAGTACAAATATATAAACTTATAATATTTTGTTTGTACAAATTGAAATAATAATTATTTATTTATTATAATATGAAATATGGATATGGAATAAAAAAAATATCAAAACATTATTATTCTATATATTATATAAAATTGTAATATCATAAAATGTTATTAACCTTAAAAAAGAAAAAGAAAAATATAAGGGTATTTGATTCAAAGTAAAACGACTGTAATTGGTTACCTTCTTTGATAAAAACTAATTTCTTGAAAAATTAATCAGTCAATATACAATAAATACTTAATCTATTTATATGGATGTACAATGCAAACTAAATAGATAAAGCAAAAGTGCTACAAATGAAAGTTTGCATGTTTTAAAAAATAGAATAATGCGAATATCTTATTTAAGTACTTAAAAAAAATATATACACATTAAATTAAAAAAATATGGAAATTAAATGCATAAAAAAGTATGAAATGAACGCTTTTGATTTATTTGATATATATTATTTCTTATTTGATCATTTTAAAATATAATATATGTTGTATACATTAAAAAATAAATTTATTAACTTTATAAGGAAATAACTTGACCAAATTCCAAGTGAAATAATTAAGTAAGATTTAACGAATATATAAAATACAAAATTTTATTATCGTATGTGTGGAAAGTAAATATATATTTGTAACGAATTCACTTCCTTTTGTGGAAGATTAAGTTTGAGATTTATCTATTATAAATTATATGGATTCTTTATATGAGCAGTCAAATTATTTCAAATCTTAATAAAGCATGTTTTTCAACAATGTAAATTTCCGTCTCTTAATTTAGTAAGTCAAAGTAAATACTTTATAATATCCGAAATTGTTTTACGAAAAAATAAAAAAATAAGTACGACGATTCTACAATGTATCAATAATAAAAGATTTAGAAAAAATAACATTTGAAATATGAGTCACTTTTTCTAACTGAATCAGGTTGGTATTATGTTAATTCAACTTACATGCTTTAGTAGCATATCGGGATGAAAATAATGCAAATTATATGTGAGATACAAAAAATGATCAACAAAAGACACAAAATGCAGGATGGATGAAAGAGCATATGAATTATGATAGTGATACATAAGAGAGGGCAAATAAATTAACAGAAACATAAATAATATTTACCATACAGATTGGTGATGGCGTTGGAAAGGGTGAATGCGGGGCAAACTCCTTTACCACTTCCAGACATGTCTTCCCCAAGCAACAGCTTTGAAAACATCTCTTTCATCAATTCCACTTCTAATCAATTCACAAAATTGAATAAATAGTCCTTTAGACAGCGAAAATAACAAACAATGTATTTTATTTATAATAATAATAATAATAATAACCAGCAGCGTACCTGCTGATTCTTTTGAAATCTGTTCTAATTTTTGCTCCTCATTATCATCAACACACCCAACATCCAAAGGGGGTTCTCTTGTTAGATTAGACACATATTTGTCTGAAAATTCTGTGGTCTTTCCAATAAACCAGCTCAATTGGACCGGAGAAGAATCATCAGAACTCGACCTGCTTACCCAACTCCGACTATCTCTTGACTCCGTCACCGAGTCATCGAAAACCGAGTCGGACCCATCGCCTCTCTTGATGCCTTCACTTTCCATTTCATAAAACCAAAAGGGAAACAACAATAGACGCCAGAATAAGATAAACAACCTATTTATTTATGCTCAACCAACAATCCTGATTTCTTCTGTTTGCAAAATGGGCTTCTCTCTCTATCTCTCTCTCTCTCTCTCTCTCTATATATATATATATATATAATAATAATAATAATAATAATAATAATAATAAGAATAAGAATAAGAACAAGAATAACCATTTATTAGATATAGTAAGTAGGGCTGAGCACGGGACTCGGAGAATTCTGAACCGTTCTGAAAACCGAACCGAAATCACTCCGAACTGAAAAATATCCGTTGATCGTTTGACTTTCTCCGAACCGAACCGAACCGAAAAAATAATTGGTACGGTTTTGGATATTTTATAAATATCCGTACCGAGAACCGAACTGAACAGTCCCGTACCGTACCGAACCGAAGAATCGAAATTAAGAACCGAATTATAAAAATAAATGCGTGTTATTAATATATTTTATGTCAACTTTGATCCTATATAATTTGAGAATTTTTAAAATGCAAATAAAATATAGAAATAACAATTAAGATTCACTTACATTTTATGATTAGCAATACTTGATCTACAATTGAATTTCTCATGTTTAAAAAAAATTAAAATAGTGAAAGGTTAAAGATTTAAAAAATAAAAATATTTAAGCTTAATTTACATAAAGTTGTCGATACTTAGGCTTAGTTTATCTTATAACTAATATGGTATGGAAGGTTAAATAAATATTACTTTAATATAAAACTGTATTATATTTTGTTTGAATTTTAAATTTTCAATGTTAGTTGAATTTAGTCTTAACTAAAATTTAGGGTTACTTCTAAAGTTGATTTAAAAATAAAATCTTTAGTATTGTTGATATCCAGATAGAATATCTTGAAATAATGGTTAGATTAAAAGAATCGTGAAGTCTAAATCACGGATTGGATCTTGGGCGATGTAAAACAGAATATACGGCACCTCGGAAATATCATCTCGGTACTTACACGACGTTCTTATATGATGCTTTGAATAATACAGCATATCTCCAAAGGTCGTTAGCATAAGTTGTTTTAACCTCGAAAAGACCATCTCGGTTGAAAGAACAACTTATCAGGAAGTCGTAGAAGACTGAAAGTTTATCAAAATACCGACGTTACAAAACGAGCCGACTTCAATCCGACAGATGTGACGCTTGTCACACATATAGAGGCGCGCCCATGCTCATCATTGCCTAAAAAGCTCGTCTACGTCATCGCCGCCCCTAAACTGTCAAATCTCCATTAAAACGAAGCTGATTTGCCTTGGGATGTGTGCCAAGCATAACTATAAATAGCAACTTCAAAAACAATACGAGGATTCGGCAAATCTGATAAACATATATATATTAAACTCGGTTTCTTCTTTGTTGACCGACTTGTTGAACGTTAAAAAACCGACTTCTAAATTCTGTAACCGACTTCAAGAATTTCAATCGAAATCTCATTTTCTGCAATCTTTATTGTGATTTTTACTTTAATTACGTTGATTAAATCCGTTTATCAACAAGTATGATGAAGTATTGATGAATGTTGGATTTAAAAAAAAAAACATATAAAAAATAATATATAACTAGGTTGTCATTCAAAAAATTTAAAAATGATAAGAAATCTCTGAATATCCGAACCGAACCAAACCAAACCGAACCGTTCTAATAGTCCCGAAAACCGAACCGAACCGATCCGAACCGAAAAATAAAAATCTTTGAACCGGACCGAACCGATTTTTGGTACGGTTCTGGAGATCGAATTTTAGTGATCTCCGAACTTCGATACGGTTCTGGAGATTTATCAATCTCCAAACCGTACCGACCCATGCTCACCCCATATAGTAAGCAAAAAAATCTACCAAAATTAATGTCACTTTGGGATTTTTTTGGAATTTTTTTTACCATAAAATCAGGCATCATTAAATGTTCCTTTTTTTTTTTTTTGTTTTAGCCAGCC